AGCTCCAGCATGTACCGTAAATTTTCTCGAACTCCATGCAAGCTTCGAGATATTCATGCTTCCGGAGGAATACGAGCGTCCTTGTAAAACTACACACTCTCGCAGGCTTTACAAACTTTTATTGTTTATTCTATGCACCGTTATATGAAAGTGTCCCATAAACTTCAGCATGATCGTGAATCAAAGAACTGAACATGTTCGAACGGAAGACTCGTAAGGATGAAAGAGGATACAATTTTTAAAATATTATTTCGCCCTGAGGACATTCGCGGAGATTAAAAATTTCCCAAAAGGAGCTTTGGTCGTGTGAAACTGCACAGATTTGAATAAACGACCGAAAACTCGTCGAAACAGCTGCATTTTTCAAGATTCTACTTTATCTCGTAGACGCGTGTAAATGCTACAAATCTTCCAAAGCGCGAGCTTCGGTCGTGCAAAAATGCGCAAGTTCAAATAAACCACTCGCAAACCGAGTCGAGAAAGCTGCATTTCTCGAAAATTTTATTTTATCAGGAAGATGTTACCGCAGGCTGAAAACCTCTTCCAAGTTCCGAGCTCCGACTGCGCGAAATTGCACGTTTCTCTCTCCTTTTTATTATCGAAACGTAAACTTAATAATCGAGACACGAAGGACCACGACAGGGACATTTCGAAACGTCGTAATTTCGAAATTTACGTTCTCGACGTCCATCGGCCCATAAACCACAAGTATTAAAGCCTTCTCGAGTGAGTCAAGAATTTCCTACGATTCCAAGTGCCGTCCTTTTCGCGCGATAGAAGACTCTTAAACACGTATACACGCGACCTCCGCACTGATTTATAAGTACTCGACTCTTTCCACCTTCGAATGGAATGTCTTTCGAATGCCTGGAGAGGAGGACTCGTTCCGAAAAAAAAGATGACGAACTCTATCGTTCCCTCTATTACAAATATATGTAACGTTATGAAACGCTTCATCAAGCGAACGTGAAAGTCACCACGACTGTGAAAGGTAATTCTCTTTCCAGTTTATTGAAACGGGTGACTCGAGAAATTAGTGACGTTGGTATTTTTAAAGGGCATTCGGAGCCTCGATCGAAAATTTAGTTCTGCTCTTTCTAGATTCCACTGACTAGAATGAGTAATCTTCTCATCGAACTGCAGGTCACGTTTTGCAAATCCTCGACATTTCGAGTCAACAACGCCCGAGTGTTTCCGTATCAGTCAAGTTATACTCGAGACAACGATTCTGAATTCCTTGTAAATGCAGCGACAAGATCTTTCCATCTGTTATTTAATTTAACGCGCGACACGTTATACGGAATTGTCTTTCTAATTCATCAATTGATTAACAGTCCTGACAATTTATTATTAAAGCTAGAGGAGGTTCTTTAATCGTTCTTGGAATTTCAAAGATGACCCGTATAAATGGAACCACATGAACATACGTAAAAGTTTACTTTCACGAAAGTCAAAGTGTTCTCAGATGCACAAATTACAGACTTTAAAAAAAAAAAAAAAAAAAAGAAGAAAACAACAAGAATGTTTAACTTTTGGATTATGTTATTTCAATCTTGGATAATTAAAATTTTAGTTTTTGCAAGTTTCCAGTTAACTTTATTTTTTAAAGACTTTCTGAAAGTTCTACGAAATTAAAAAAGAGGAAACTAGAGTAAATTTGTTCGCGAAAGTTCTGCTAACAACCTAGTTACGTTCTACTAAATTCCAGCTTGCACGGGCCTTCAATTTTGCTTTTTCTAATAACGATACTGATAATAAGTTGCACAGGATCAACGCTCGAGATCGTCGTCTTATAACACAGCCAAGTTGAACGATATTGTAGCATACTAGTTTGAAATTTTATTGAACTACTAGACTCGCTTTTGCTTTCAGCAAAGCAAACAAGATTTTATGAAGCACGATTAGATTAAGAACGATTGACGTAAAATCTGGCACATTTATTGAATCATTCGATATGTATCTTTTAAAAAGCACGTTTTTGAAATACATGAAACGCTCTCGTTTTCGCGGTAATAATAATATCGACTCATGCATAATCAAAATTAGCTCTGTTCGTTCTGGAATTTGTTTTTCTAAGTGATTTTGTCCCCAAAAACGGAATTATTATATTATTCAATACGAAAGTTAAAATTAACTTAATAAAACGATAAATTCATTTTATACCCTTTAAAAATAAAGTTTTATCTATTTTCTTCAAACAAAATGACTGCTACAAAATAGCAATCTCAGTGTTCCAAATATTAATCCTGTTACGACCCTTATTTTAATTTAAACACGTCCAACTATCTTCTTTGATTTCCTACTATTCAAATAAATATAAGAAAAGTGGCTATTAACATACGAATTTTCTTGTTCCAATTTTATATTAGATAGTCGTTCTTTTCAAAATTGGGAAACTTTTTAAAAGTGGAAAAGTTTAAGTGTTTCAAAGGGAGAAATTAATTTCTATTAAGAGAAGGGAAGGAAAGAGAAAGAACGGAGAGAAGAAAAGAGAATAGAGAAAAAGAAGGGGAAAAAAGAAGTAGAAGAGGAGAAAAAAAAAAGACAAATCCAGAGGAGAAAGATAAAAGCAAAAGGAGAAAGGAAATTGAAAGGAAGATTCCAATCATTTGTTCGACGATTTACATAAATGAATTATCACATCTTAGATGAAAGCACGAATTACTTTAACATTTATGAACAAGCGTTCTTTTAATTAAAATCCTCCGTTTTACAAGACGGTCACTTAAATCAAGCTAACATTCATTGTAAATTGATAAATAAAATGAGTCTGTAAAGTCTCGTGAAAAAGAGAAATCATCGAGTAAATGAAGAATATCAGCCTAGCAACAATTAACAGCGTCCTATAATGAGCCAATTAAAATTGTCTCGGACGAGCAGAGATTCTGCGTATTCTATACGTGACGTGAACGAAATATCGCAGTAGTAGCGCAGCGATATTCAGCCAGGATCCAAATCCCAAATTGGAAAAGTTCAAATGCAATTAACAATGGCCGGAGAGTCAAACATAGCGGCGATAAACGCGCGCGCTGTTAATATCGATCTCGATGTCGATTTCCACGCAGGGAATTTATCAGGGTTGGCCTTAATCCGGCGTTTGACTCGGCGATGGAATTCGGCCAAGTATCCTTCTCGTCTGGCGGAAGTTTTACGATTGTCGGTAACGGCGGTTGAATTTCGCAAAACAAAAAGGACCTCCGGATGCTGGTAAGCGGATTCCCAAAATCCCCGTCCCCGGGTAAAGGGGAAAATTGGAATTGGACATTTCATTTTTTTTTTCTCCTTTTTTCTTTCCCTTCTCTTTTTTTTCTTTCTTTCGTTTTTTTTTTTTTTTTTTTTTTTTTTTTTTTTTTTTTTTTACAACGGAATTAAATCGGTCGTACGAAGATGAAAGTTTTTGATAAGCCGCCGCGACACGACGCTGTTATTTCAAATAATCCTTTCGCGAGCACCGCGAAATTGCCTGCACGCGGATTACATTTTCAGAAGCCTGTTACTTTAGGTCCCTTTCATCGTTACGTCATCGACGTAATGCTTCCGCTTGACGAGCTTCGAGTCCGCTTTTGAAAAAGCTATCGTACACACGCCGGAAAGATACGATGGTATACATACAATTTTTGATAAGCTTAACACTGGCCTGGTTTTATAGCCGCTATTGTAACGTGGCTTTCTATAACGCGGCTCGATCGTATTATGTAAGTACTTTTAGTGCGCGTATTATGAAAAATAAAAAAGGAAAGAAAAACTTGGGATTGTAGGAGTGGGATTATCGATCGTCGAGGATATCGCATAAAACGTAACAACGCATTCCCGACAGGCGGCTAGATAATTTATCGAGAGATAAAGTTGATAAATCCTGATTGGTTGCAAGCGAGAATTTACACGTTCGTGCGTTTTTGTAACGTCGTTATTACAAGGCGTGAATTAGAATTATTAAATTTTGGAAACGAAAGACGATAAAGTATCGAAATATCCACTACTTTTGGAGTATGTACGAAAATAATCTTTTGAAAATCTCGCTATGAAAACTTAAGGAGACAGATATCCAGCAAATCACGTAAGGAATAATATATCTTTTAATCCAGTTGATAATCTTGTCCACAAATTGGAAAATTAATAATTGATATTCTTATATAATACCAAGAACGACATAAAGCTAACAATAAGGACGTCTATATCAGCAAATGTATCATTTTTATAATTAACGAAGCCAGCCCGGGAAATTAATTTCTTTTCCTAAAAATAACTCGTTTATTCTCTTGAGAGATTGAACTTTACGGAAAGAATTCACGAAATTATGAAACAATAAATTACAATATTTTACAATTGTTCGAATGCTTCAACTTGAAAGAATACAACCTGTTTCATCACTAGACACGTCAAACACGTATACGACGATAACACGAAGAAACGAGAACGGTCAGGGTGGAAAAGGATTCGCCAAAATCGCATTGTAAGCTCTTTGAAGATAACCCTCCTTCCAACCCAAGATGCGAAGCATGGAAGATCATCGGATAATCTTTTCTTCATGGGATCATATATATCTTTGTTGGATAACATGATACAAAATATGGCGGTGGCATTGACATGAGAAATTTTGTGGGCTTGTATAAAGAGATCCATCTTGGTATTCTGTTGCGAGAAAGATTGTCGCGATTAGAATATCTTGATTCTATGATTCTATAGAGATCTGTATATTATCAGCAAGTGAGGGCGTTACAAATTACATGAAAATATATTATATGAAATTAATTAAAAAACTGACAAAGGGATTAAAAGAAGTTGTTAAAATCACAAATATTTATAGACATTTACTCAAACGAGCCACTATTCTTTTTGTAATCTTCATATCCTCTAAATTGTATCTTTTGAGCGAGAGTGTTACAAATAAAATAATAATCACAAGTTTGATGAAAAAAGAAATCTATCAATCTATCCTTCGAACAATTAAAATCATTAAAATTAAATATCAATCCCTGTTTTTTTCTTTGTTGTTTCAGTGCGGTGGATTCCCATGCGTCGAGAACGTGAAGCGCAAAACGCCGAGGGTAAGTGCGAACAAGGCTTCTGAAATACAGAGTGCTTTCCATCTTATCTTCTGTTCGTAAGGGAAGTAACGAATTGAATATAGTGGCACGTGTGCGTGTGTCGAGGTTGGTATGGAAATTAGATTTTGAAGGTTGTATTCGAGTGGAACGCGATGGGTTCCGTTTCCCTTGTGATCCGCCTTGCAACCTCGTCTTGCTGCGACGCTAGAGCGAGGAAAGAAGCTTCGTGGAACGAATTTGTGGGTATTCAGACGTCTTTCTTATGTAATCAAATTACTCGAATCCAATTAATAGAGTCTCGATAACGCGACGACACGCACGAGACTCGGGCTCGAGACTTCATTCGTTCAGCCGACGCACACCGGGACGCGCGCACTCACACACGTACGTGCACACAAACGTACGTACGTACACGACCACGCGGTCGTAATTAACCGCACATTCGATGCATGTATGCAGAAACCACGCGTTGTTTGCGAATAGCAATTCGGAGCGTACGGGATTGAATGTAACACGGGACACACACACACACACACACACACACAGTGTCGGGAATGCGCACAGTATCGTCCCGTGTGTTCGTCTTACGAGCCTATTACCGAACTTGGCCCTCGCTTGCCCATAGGATTGTTCAATGAGTGATTATGCGGCCGAAAATGAGCAAGATTTGCGGAACACTGGCAAATGATAGCTTACCCGTGACGCTGTAACGTGCTATACGCGATGCAAATTATCCTGACGTTATAGGGGAATTAGACGTCGCAGCCAGCGTTGCGCAGAGCATCATTCGATCTTACGTGATGCCATAGGTGGCAATTTCTTTGCATGTTATTAGACTGCAGATTTTTACAAAGATTTGTACCTTTATGGATGTGATTAAAGAAAGAGATCTTTAGATCTTACTCATTAAAAATTGTAACAAGCTACTCTACTTTGGAAGAGTTTCTTCGTTACAGCTGACTTTGTTCCTTTAACGAGAGAGAAAATTTTCCCAACAATGCAGCAGTTCTCCACTGATTTGATTACAATAGGCAAACAAATAGCAAATACAATCGAATTAGTTAACGAGGTTCTAATTAAACGCATGAAAGGTAATTAATATCACTACCACCTTCCATTATTAAATTACTAAACTAGAATTCTGCTACCATTATGTTTTAGTAACAGGCTCTCCAAAATCAAACACACGCGTATTCCAATTATACGAAACAGGAAAATGGAAACGAAAATTACTATCTACAAGGAATTTAGAATTTACGAAAAAGGAATTTAATCCAAGAATTAAGAAAACTAGTTGTGATCTAATGGAGAATATGAATTTGATTGACAACACATTGAACTTAAAATTATTCTTTCGTAAAAGATTTTTATAGCGGTCCACATTTCTTTTAAATCACTCTCAAGAAATGAACAGACAGATCTATTGATAAAAATAAAAGAAAATACACGACATCAGTAGCGTTTCTGAAATAAAATCAGTAAGTAACTATGAAACGTGTCGGACCAAACGGTAAGGATATTAGAAATAAAGACGAAAATCGTGCAGTAAAGCATAGGCAGGAAATGGATAAGACGGAGTAAAGTAGCAAACGACATGGAAAGAGAAAATCTGAAAACAATGCGCCGCATGTATGTACATACGGTGCAGTGTATACAACTGCATTGCGTCAGATGCATCGTATGCTAGCTCGAGTAACGATACGTCGCTTCGTCGCCTAGCATGCCATTGTGATTGACTCCGAACCAATAATATTACATGTTCTCTCGTCTATTTTCCACCTGACACCAAGCTACTGCCACTCGTTGAGCGGAATTATTTGAAGTATTTCTACCTCTTTCTAGTGCAACGAAATTTCGGAATTCCAGGAAAATTGAATCCGCCATTTTCCCGTCAAGCTTTCTATGTCCCTTGAGTGTGATCTATGTTATTTCTATTCCTTTGACGTGAAACGAAACGTGAAACATTTGTAGACTGTCATTTCTTTACTTTACTGAGCAATTAAACTTTTTGGAAACAAGAGGCGTAATGAGTCATATTGGATATGCTGTCAACCAATTTTGACATTTTTTTCAGTTTGAGATTTAATATGTTTCTGCTGTGTAATTACATTAATTATTCCAGATTTACTATCATCTATCTTTCAAAAATTTCTATATTAGAATCTGCCAAATTATTCAACCACTTGATACCAAAGTATCTCTTTCATCAATCACAATTTAATTTCTGCTTTCTATAAAAAAAAAAATATTATGTTTCAGATATACATACGTACGTCGAGTTCTGACGTTTCAAAAGCACTACAACTAGCTTTAACAGAAATCTAATCATGTATCGATGATATACTGAATAAACCTGTGCAGCATCAATTCATCATGAAACTCTCAATAGACTTGCGTAATTGGTGCACTGGAAAATTGATTGAATACCATTTTCGAAGAAATGTAACCTACACCTGAATTTCTAACTCCTTCGAGATTCCAAACGTTCTAAAAATTTATTTCAACTGCTTGATCTGCTCATAAAATTTTTCGAATGGCGCCACTGCATAGTTATCATATTATACGTATCAAGAAAAATAAAAGACGTTAGTTATAGATTAATTCATTTATTAAAAAAAAAAAATTAATATCCCCGAATTAATATTCCAGTATTCAGAAGCAATCAGTTAAAACATCAATTATTTCGCCCGTATTTTATCCACACACCCTTTCCCTCGGTATAATTGACAATATTAGAGCCAAAGTATTATCTATCTTCATCCATCGCGAGTTAACCGAAATTTACACCGATGTGTATCATAAATTCACGGCGAAGCCCTGTTCCTACGGGCGAACAAGCGAAGAGCAGGAAGAAAGCATCGGCGCCGCGGCGAAAGATCGATCGTTCAGAGAGGATTGCACTCTTTCGAAGGATTCGTACTACGTTGGGTTGTATGGAAAGTGGGCCGCGAGGCAGGCAGAATCGTTAGTAGAAATGAAAACAAATTGCCTGGGTGGGCGGCTTCCGAGAGGGCGAAAGCCGCCGGGCAAAAATGTGATTTGACAAATGGCGTATGATAAAAGCGCGCCACGTTCATTAGGGGAAATGGTCCGCGGCCGGGTAATGCAACTCCCGATCATAAAACTGATGCATTGTAAACACGTTTAGCGTGTTGCATGCCGGGAACATTGTATTTCGGGCCGATATCTTTCACGCGAACCGGGTTACGGTTTCGTACGTCAGTGGCGTCAGTGATGTCTTTTACAACTCTATGTCCTTCGGGTTAAGTACGCTTTTAACCCTTTCACTGTTAAGATTTCAAATTTTCCGAGCACTGTACGTACACGTGCTCCCCGAGAACTTCTCGCTCCGCTGAATACCCTTTTGCAGTTCGCACGACGCGACGTGTAAAACCTTGCACTCTGCTTAAATTATTCACGCATTTTGCTCACCTGCGCAAGCTGATATTCAAATTTTCCTTAGAAATATTCTCGCTCGTCAAATTTTCTTCAGAAGAGACACTGATAAGACAAGTTTCATCCTGAAGGTTGTTGATGTTAATTGATCTACAGGGATGAGAGGAAAGTGAATCAGAAGAGGATGTTAGAATGATCAAAGATTGATTTGTTAAAAGAATGACGTATCTAAAAAATTGTAAACTTTGAAATATTCGTGAGTTTGAATTACTGGAACTATCAAATCATAATTCGAAATCGCAGAAAAGAACTGAAAGCTTTAATAGCATCGAGAGAAAAAGACGAATGGTAAATCGGGAAATTAGCATGAAACAAACTACACAAACCGGAACTCGGATTGTTCACTTTGGCAAATCGATGAGGGAAAAAATGGTTCTATAATGCTATGAAATCCCATCTGGAGTCAGTTAACTGCAAAGACTGAGCCACTTGATACTCGATACTGCTTTACCGTACTCGACGACATAATCTCCTTGACGACGTCGAGAACATTTAGTGAAACTGGGGAAAGAATCTTTACGATTCGAGGCTTCTTCAACTCTTGTCATAGAATTTCAAGAGGACTCTGATACGCGTATCGGAGATCTTGCTTCGTCGCAAGAGAATAGAACAAGCGCGAAGCGTATCGTTTCTCGTTTCTTTATCTTCAAAAATCTGCGATTACGTTAATCTACTTGAGAAAGGAACAATTGTTTCAGGAGAGACTATGGTTTTCGAAGAGTTATACAGCTCATAATTTTTGAGCACAGAGAAATATTGACTCTGAAAACTTTAGGATATCATAGTAAATTGTAAATTGGCATACTATTTACAAAAAGGAGAAAAATAGAAGGATAGCTCGTTTTATTTTTTGATTTAGAGAGTCCCAAAATAGTTGCAAATTAAAATATGAGACAAACTTTAACAGAGAAGCAATAAATTTTTATGACACCTGTATATTATAGTAATTATGGATGAAAATCTTCTACCGTGTATTTCCTTTTTATCTCATATTCCTGCTTTATTCTTTAAAATTAGGGTTACTTCCTATATTCAGAAAGCAAAAAGTTTCAAATTCTTTTGGTAAAGTAAAGATTAATTCTTTTAGGAATATTTATTGATAAAAAATGAAAATGAAAATTAAATGGAATGATTTTACACGAGTTACATTTCTTTTATAGAGAAAGTACAAGTTGGAATAGAGAATTGGCGTGTGTTCACATACATAACAGTCATTGCAGTATCGCCTGTCGCAAGTATCGACGCTGTTAGTTAACGACGATATAGTAAAACGACTTTGGAATTCAATTTGCAGACTGAAATCGCACGAGTTTTAAAATGGCACCGTGTACCAAAGTGGACATGTAATTTCCGTTGGATCGATTAATAGTACACAGCATTTAAAGAGTCAATTTAATCTATCGACCCGTCACGTAATACCGGTCGTTTTGTACAAAGTGGATGAAGATTCCCATGTCTAGTATCTTTTGTATCTCACGGTTGTATGTCGAACTTTTTTATTGCTGTCACGTGTACTGTGGTTTTTTTAATCAACAAGATGTTAACGATTCTGAGAGATGAGGAGAAACTAAAATTATGACATGAAACGAATCACGATGCGATACTGCAGGGAAAAAATTAAAATGGTTATGATTTGCTATCTAATTTGAAACTTGGAATGAATAACTTAGAATAAAGAATAAATGAATGAAGATATGAACAGAAAAATGTAAATGCATATATATGTACATCACAATTTATGTCCTTTTTAATTTACATTAGACAAAAGGTGACAGGGAAAAATTATTTTATTCATTCGAGAAATATACAAGTATACAATGTACTTTGATGTACAATGAACTTAATAAAATAAATTAGTTCAAAGATCAAAAATTAAATGAACATTTTTAGTGACTATCTATTTAGTTTGTATTGGCGACATTGTTTGTCTATGTACATGCATTTACAAAATTGACATTGCAAAAATATAATGCCATTAATTATGTGCCTATGTTAAATTACAGACAAAATTAAAAATGAATTATAAGCACAACTTATACCCAATTAACTATGATTGTACATGAAACGAATTATTTAGCACATCATGTTTAACTGTTTGGAAATATTTGGTCAAATTGCAGTAGTTTTTCAAATGCTTTTATGTTGTCTCTTTAATTTAATATTAATTCAATTGAACAGTGAAATATCATATTTGTAAAATGAACAAAATAAAACTACTGAAAAATATACATATGTAATATAGGACTTTATATTATTCAACTTTCATTAAAAGAAAACAATGAATAAGATTATATATAAAACACAGTTTAACCAAATCTTGTATTCTTTTTTATTAACTCATAATTAATAGTTTGAGATTAACATGTAGTTTTTATTTGAAATAATTATGTAGGTACTACTTGTGAATATAAATATTTTAATTTTATGTATACATTTGAAATAAAATCTAGATTACAAAAAACAACAATTAAAATCTAATATTTGAACAATATTTGTCAAAATTTCATATCATAGAACATCTCTTTCACTATAATTATCAGTTATATAATACTAGTACATGGACAAAGTACAGTCATAGGTTATACACACTTATAATTTTATAATTTTTTGTCAAATAAGATAATCAAACAGTAATTTCATTTGTTTCATTACCAAATGTGTGAAATTTATTAATATGGATTATGTACAACATAATGATTTGTAAAATTTATAACCCTACTCAATGATACAAGACAGCCTATGCTATGTAACTACATTACTTCAATCAGTTTTAAAATAACCTCATTCTATCAATTATGAACTAAATAGACAAAATTAATATTGTAATAACTCACCAATCACATGCCGATAATCAGAAAACTGTCTCACCAAAACTGTCTTGAAATCTCGAAGCGTCACACCAAATGAAGCTGAACATAATAATTTGTGAAATTTATAACCTTATTCAATGATACAAGACAACTTATACTACATAACTGCATTAATTAGTTTTAAAATAACATCATCCTATCAATTATGAATTAAATAGACAAAATTAATGTTGTAATAACTCACCGATCACATGCCGATGAGCAGAAATTCTCACCAAAACCGTGTCGAAACCTTGAAGCCTCACACTAGAATGAAGCATAAACATCAACTCCAGCATGGCCAAGCTAAACAAAAAATAACAGATTGTCGAAAACAATTCTTGGAAAACAAACCACGGCCAACTTAAGCAAAAATATTTCTAAGAACAGATTAACTGCTCTTAGAAGACAAATACTTCTCGGAATTATTTCTTAAAAAATAAACACTTCTTACACATTACCAACAAACAACAGTGTGTCGACTTTCATCGATTAACATGATACACGTGTGTTCATTTCGGGTTTAGTTTCCGACGATGAAGGTTGTATCGTTGTGAAACTTGAATTTCTTGCGGAAAATATCTCAATATCGTTCACTAATGCGTTCTGCCGGGTGCGAATATGGCGATTCATTTCATTTAAAGTAGACTGTTACACAAAACGACTATCGAAATTTCTCGTTTATATCGAGAATCGATTCTTAGCCTCCAACCCAGATGTCGCGATTTCCTTTCGCGTTCAAATTCTTTTCCTGTGCTGTGATTGGTTGATTTCGTATTGCTGCAGTTAGTTTCGCAACGGATGGCGGGCACGTACGTCGGAAACTACGTGGAGGAACTATTTAACATATTTCGTAATTTTATTCAACAGACATCGTCAAAAGTTACAAATATTCGCATTCCTTGATTATCGTTTCGCAGTGTTTCAGTATTTTTAGCTCTCGGCATTGAATTAACAAGCAGAATTCTTCTTACGAAAAGTAAGTCGCAGCACCAAGCAAATATTTCGAACAATGCAGTTCAAAATTTATCTTAATTAGAATTATTGATCGAATGGTACGTATTCTTAAAGCTCGTGTCGTTCCGAGTATTTGTTCTATGTAAATTTGATCTTATTTCATATGTTAATGCTTAATTTAAATTTAATTTAAATTATTATTAAATTTAATATTCATAGAAATTTCTTATAAAAATTTCCGAATGTTGTGTATAATGCATACAATGTATACGTATGTAAACATTTTCTGTAGTAAATATTCATATACCTTTGTAAATCAGTACGTAAATTCAGATTTCATGGTGCCCCATATTGCACCCCCGCTTGACCCACACCTGTTTCCAACGTAACGTAGCGCCACCATTTCGCGCGGCGCGTCGCGTTGTAATGTTCGACGTTTCTTTTTCTCCGTTTACGTGTTGAGTGTTCGTGTGAATAAAAGTGTCGCGAGTCGCGAGTGTTACAACAATAACTACGAGAAACAGAAGAAGAATAGGCGAGCAAAGGGAGTCGCAGACCGCCCATTGTCCAGTAAGTTCCCGTTCCATAATATTCGGACTAGGTAAGTGAGCTCAAGGGCGCCTTTTTCCAACCAATTAATTTGAGTCCAATACTGCCTTAGCTTCGTGTATTCACAATCGGACGAAGTATCTTTTCTTTTTGTATCGTCTGACTCGTTTCAGCGTATAAATTTGCTATGAAAATCGTTTTCACGGCTTGGTATATTGTTCATTTTATAAAGGTGTTCCATAACGTATTAATCGTATAAGAAGTTTGAATTGCGATGGTTCCATAGGTGGCGCTTTTCGGATGCCATATTTGTTTCATATTTGAATTCCGCGAATACTTTGGAGTAAAATGATTGATCGATTTATTGCAGAAATTGTTTTAAATTTAGACAAAGGCAGATTATTGGACGTTTTCATATTATTATTCATATTATTTATTCATTTCTGACATGATTTTACAAGCTATATTAAAGCACTTATAATAATCAGATGTAATTATACAATCATATAAATATTGTGTTGATACATAATAATTGTATTATTATTTATAATAATTATATTATTTTACTGAATGATAAAATTGAAATTTAAAAAATAATAAATATGAAATCATATTAAAAAAAATAATTAAAAAGTAAAAGACGAAATATACAGCAAAAAAATTTTTTAAATTTATAAGAAAAGATAAGTTGGGATAAATTCGGATAAAAGTTCTTCTAAACTTATAAAAAATTAGTTTAGTGATATTTGAAAATTGAATATCTGTAAATGTATCGATGAATCGTGTGTTCAGTTTTAATCTATCATCGGTCAACTTTGAAATAAATAACCTGCATTGAAATTGTATTAAAATTTGAATGTATAAGTATTACTTTGTATTACATTGGCATTAGATTGATTTATACATTTTATTGATATTCGCAAAGTATTGCAACAAATTGCCTAAAGCGCCCGCTTATTTACAAGTAAGCTTCTTTATTTCAATATAACAAGTATATATACTTATTTATTTATTAGAATTGAGAAATACGTATGCTGATTTCAATGAATTCTTTCATATATTAAACCATTCAAGTGTTCATTAGCTAGATATTTAGCTAGATATTTGGAAAACATTTATATACGAATATTCGTGGCGTTGTGTTACCGTGCGAAACAAAGCGTATAGAAACACGTACGTTTGAAGAATAGGCACAGAGTATCAGAAGCGCAAGAAATGCTTAAATTATACGAAGGATGTTAGATAGGATGTCTGGCCGCCATTTTGCCATAAGAGCTAAGACAACCGTAGACAGGCTTACGAGGCACATTATGCAGAGATTTGGTGATTTGCATAAAGCTGGTTCATGCTGTTGATTCGCTGGAAAGAGAGATAGAGAGACAGTTGGCTGATTATAGGATGAATGGTGGAAAGAGGAGCCCGGTAGATAGAATAGGGGGTGAGAACAGGGTGGGATAGAGAGACAGGACGTTGAGAGGATAGAAGAGAAAGGGAGACAATCGGGTTCCACAATCGCTGAAATTTCGCGCGATGGATCTTATCGAGGCGAATGCATAATTTCATGGTATAATGCAGTCTTATCGGAACGTTTGCTATACGGTATGACGGAACGTGGAAAGTATTCGTTTGGTCGGGGATGTTTGATTGCTCATCGATTGTCTGCCACGGAATTTAACTCCTCTGAGAATTAATTGATACGTATAGACGTATGTACCTACATTCCTGTCTGCTTTCGAACAACTGCGAGATAATGAATTAAACGGTTCCACGAGATTGGTGAAGACGTTCACTCGCCATGAGATCGAACAAGTTTGAATGAAAATTTGATTAGAAAATATTAAATTTGTAGCGTGTTAGCTCTAGATTGTGTAAAATGTTTTAGTATTTTTGTACAATTTCACTTCTTTTGCTCAATACGTGTAACGTGGTTATTTGTTACTGAATAAATTTGGATAGAAAAACTGTTCACAGAAATAAAATTTCACACGTCATAAGTATTCTTCGTTGATTTCTTTCTTTAAATTTCAACTTCAATTATTACAATAATTCACTTTTGACGAAACCTTTACTGTATATATTATTGTCTGTACAAAAGACCTATCCGTGAAAACATTGAAAGTTTGCCTAGATACTCTGCGTTCAACGATCAGTTAATAACATTTAAATCTATTTTTAGATGCCCCGTATATCTCGGCAAGAAATTAATTCAATTACAGGAAACTGAAACCATTGTCGGTACCTCGATACACCGCAACGCCATTATTAGACGGGGAATGTTCTTCAAATCAAATTTCCTTTCAATGAACGCGCTACAGTGTCTATCGATCTTGTCGAACTATCGCGAGAAGCCCGAGTAGTTGAACAATTGGTTGACGGTTCTATTGTCGCGGGTCCGCTTCCTTAGATCTTCGTTTCAGTGTCCTTAACCTACCAAGTGGAATGGCCACTCGACTCGTCTCTCTTCCTCTCTTCTAGCCTCTCTTCTCGTCCTCTCCTTGTAATTCTGTCTCTGTACTTTTCGAGAATCCTTCTAGCTTCCGTTAAGGGAGCCTCTGCTTTCAAATCGCACGGAAACTCATCGCGTTAAATTATACTTGCAGACTTCTCGTCAGATGTTCGAAAGTAGGATCCGATCTGGACGTTATTGATTGAAAGATTGATGTGAAAACGATTGTCAGTAACGGGAACATACGAATGGGAGAGAAAATATTGTTTGGTTTGAACTTTGAAATCCTATGAATATACTTTTATGCAAATCTATTATTAAATCATCAGAGGATCAAATTAAGCATGTATTTAGTTCAAGGGAAAAAGAGAAAGATTTAGGTTATAAATAATTATTTAAATTCTTTTAAAGTACAATATTGTAGAATATAGTTACTGTGTATCTTTCACAATCTCCAGTTTCAATTCCTAACGATGCATAGAAACGACATTTATCGTCATATAATAAGAGGACGCAAACCAAAATTCGTTTCGTCGTTTGATCCACAGTTGGTATCACGGATCGCTTGGGCGTTTTAATATCTAAGAAGCAAACTTTCGAGTTCTTGCAGTCTATCAGGGGTATCATAATCGAAATCTCTACACAGCGAGTACCCTCCATTATTCCCGAAATCATGAATTCAGCCGAACGGAAAGAGGGCAGGAGGAATATGAAAAGGATTCGAAGCGTTATCCATTATTTCACAGATACGTGGGCAAGCGGTGGTGGCAGCGGTGAAGTAAATCGCGCCAGTTTCATCGATGATGTAGAAACGTGCGAGGGGTGGGGGCGAAAGACTCCTTTCCTAGCTTCGTCGCCCTCACGGTCCCGTCGTCATCCCTTCCTGTCGAGACGGTGGCAATCTTCCTCGTCTTCGACGATCTGAAGATTTCCTCTCGATCTCACGGCAAGATAGAAATGCCGCGTCTCCCTCCTTCTCGGACGGACGGGAAACGTTTCAGGGCACCCGTCGTCGTTTCCACTTTACTTCTTCTATTTTGCCCTCTGCCTTTCGACTCATCCTCGATTTCCTCTGTATGCCAGTACGGCCGATGCTTCGATTCCGAAAGAGGAGAGAGCCCAGAGGCTAGACTTACGGATGAATATTCCCTCTGCCGGTGAATTCATAACGTTCATTTATACACGGGTCAGTGACTCATATCCTTCGACGACGCCGGATAGACAGACCCGGGTTCTCTTTCCAACCCCGTCACAGAAACCCGGCCGCCTGCCGTCCTTTTTCTCAATTCAATCTAGCTGATAATGAAGCATCGCTGCCACGTGCATTCGTGTTCATCGTGACCGGTTCGCGACCTACGACCTCCTTAAACCCGTTCCCTGTTACCTGGCCCACTCGAGGCTCAACCTATTTTCATCTTGGATCCGTTTCGGCGCGAGTGGGTAAGAGGAAGCGAAGAAGCCCGTGGAAAGATGGTGACTGTATGGTGGCGGAGTGTGTTTGGGAAGCCTTTTGCGGCGCACTCCGGAGCCAACCTGAAGACAATGGTGCGAGAAATAGGCGA